TCCTCGAAACATTAGCTGTGACTATGCAAAACAACTGGGACCACTTCGCTTCCCTCGTCAGCTTATGGGAGGATTCCGTCATCGAAAACATCGACGAGGAGTACTATCGGCTCGTTGAACATCTTCACGATTGTGGCAAGAAGGCAGAGAGTTTGAAAGTCACCAAGGGACGTCTGTCTCCGGAAACTCTCGAACTGATACGCCAGCGTGGAGCCGCACGAGCTGCAGGCAATCACCGACTCACGTCCGAGCTTGCGAAGCTATGCAGAGAGGCGATAAAGGAAGATCTCAAGGAGCGAAGAGCAGCAGTATTAGCTGAAGCAGCAGAGGCTGGGAGGAGCATCCGCAATGCCCGCCGAAGCTTTGCCAGCTACAAGACCAAGATGACCTGCCTCCGACGTCCGGATGGAACAGTTACTGCATCCCGAAGGGCAATGGAGAAAGTCATCCACGACTTCTACTCGGATCTCTTCGATAGCCATGTCCATCTGCCTACTTATACATCAAGATTCTTCGTGAGCTCTACAGCAACTTTACGACCAGAATCTCACCATTCTACAAGGAGGTCATCATCGACGTCAAGAGAGGGGTTCGACAGGGCGACACCATCTCGCCCAAACTCTTCAGCGCCGCTCTCGAGAACGTCATGCGTCAACTGGAATGGGAAGACATGGGAGTGAAGGTCGACGGCCGGCAACTACACCACCTTCGTTTTGCTGACGACATCGTTCTTATAACGCCGAACATCGAGCAAGCGGAGCGAATGCTGGCTGATTTCGACTGCGCCTGTGGTAAGGTTGGTCTACAGCTGAACCTAACGAAGACGATGTTTATGAGAAACGGATTGGTTCCTGATGCCCCATTCACGCTCAACGGAACGAACATCACCGAATGCTCCAGCTACGTGTACCTAGGTCGGGAAATCAATATGATGAACGATCTAGCTCCAGAGCTGAGCAGGAGGAAACGAGCGGCTTGGGGAGCGTATAAGAACATCGAGGGAGTAGTGAAGAAGACGAAGAACATCCGGCTCCGTGCCCACCTCTTCGATTCCGCTGTCTTTCCTGCCCTAACCTACGCCTCAGAGACTTGGACTCTGCGCAGGCAGGACGAGCATGCGGTCAGCGGAGTAACCCTATACACGCAAGTGCAGAGGGGAATCCGGAGTGCCGAACTACGCCAACGATCGAAGATCAGGGACGCTGCCGTTTTCGCCAAGGAATCGAAGATAAGGTGGGCCGGACACGTCATGCGATTTTGCGATGACCGTTGGACCAGAGCGGTTACCGACTGGATCCCTCGGGACGTCAAACGAACACCTGGACGACCGCCGGCCCGATGGTCAGACTTCTTCACGAAAGCTCTGAACGAAAGGAATGAAGGACATCGTGTCCCTCGAGCGAGGAGGGTCCACTGGACAACTCTTGCACGCGACAGGGACGAATGGAGACGTTGCTGGCGCCCGCTCGAGCAATTCGATGATCAACGGGACGACAGGTGATACAGGTGATGGTAAATGTTTGAAACACTGGCACTTCCAAGGAATATCGCACGAGCAGCTTGTCAGGCACAATCCGAAATCTATACTCGTGTCCCGAAGTTCAGGCAGGCTTCCCATTGCACCTATAGTAGTGCTATGGGCACCATTGCCGACTGGTGCAGGTAAGGTACCTGGATTACACTCAAAGTCACCCAAGTTTGAGAGGTCTTCCTTAGTTCCTCGCTAGAGGGTCAGCAGTGCTAATTTTCCCTCGTGCTGCTATCTCTTTGAATGCAGGAAAGGGAATAGGGTTGCAGTCCTTAAGTAGTCCTTTTATATCGTAGTTTTTAATAGTTTCGTGAAGATAATAGGGCTACCGTCCTCATTGACTAACCACAATGTTTTCTATTGTTTGTTTGTTTATAGGCGCGTCAACTGCACGCATGAATAAATAAATAAATAAATAAATAAATAAATAAATAAATAAATAAATAAATAAATAAATAAATAAATAAATAAATAAATAAATAAAAAATAAATAAATAAATAAATAAATCGAGATTGGCCAACGCCAAGAACGACTTTCATCAAAAGCTTAGTAGAGCCTTTTGGTGAGGCAACTTCGTGAACATGGGAATTAACTCATCGCCTAACCAACAAAGGGAATCGCATCCAAACAAATGAAGCATTTCAAGCAGTCATGCAGTAAAACGCAAAAAATGTGTCATGCCAAAAATCGCTTAACCTGTTGTCAGTGCGGCCTCTTTCTTCGGCTAAAATACTCAATGAATATTTCTCGAAAAAAGGTCCTAAAGCGACAATTCAAGGATGCCGTTACTGTCTAAACCAACCTCCTGCTTCGTCCGGTAGGAATGACAGTTCCAGTGCTCGCTGTGCCACCATAGCGGCTGTGATGGCGACGCCATTGATCTTAAAGTAATATTTATGATACAATTCACCTTTCTGCATTTGAACTATATAAAAAAGAGCCAAACGGCATAATTGTTTCAAAATAATTTGAGCTCATAATGCTGAAAAAGGCCGCAAAGCATCGAAAGTGGGGTGATTAAAAAGGATTCCGAAGCCATCTGCAAAGTGTTCAGGTTGATCGTTCTGCCTTTTTTCCCTCTCAATCATTGAATCGTAATGCTTTACGAACCGTTTTCGTTGGAGGATCGACTCCCATGGATTATTGAGTCACTAATCCTCATTAACAATATCTCTCAAACCCCGTCTTATCACCTGCTCAACGGATTTGAAGCGATTATGAAATTTAGAAGTGAGAGATTGTAATCTCGATGTCGATATGGAGCGCTATAGCATTGCACAATCCCCCAGCTGGTTTAAGTTTATCAATGAAAAATCGATTAAATTCGACCGACCTTCTTTCGCCGTTCCAATCCTAACCAGTGCTTGACAATTGATCTATATTTCGAGCTGAAGACGAGATAGACAAACGCTGATGAGGAGGAGTTCAATGAGATCAGAATGTTGCTTAATTCCACGGAGAAGTCGAACACGTCCTGATTCTGATAAGAAGCCTCCGTCTGGTTCACCTGTAAGGCTAGATAACCTTGTTTGTGTACTGCGACGTGGAGTAGTGACTTTTTTAAACTCTGCGTGAAAGGCGATCAGAAAGAATAAGGAGTTATTTACAAACAAAATCACTAAATGGGTGTGTATGGAAAGATCGCTGGTGAACGGAGACGCAGAGGCGAGTCGTCGTTGGCGAATTCGATGGCGACCACCGCATACCGGTACCACAGTCGGGTGCACGCTGCCGCGAACTAATTCCTTGCACATAGCACACAAGTCCTATATGAGCCGCATGAGGCTTCTTTCAAACTACTGCCCACTAGGCTTAATTCAACTGCGAGACACTTGAAGGCTTCCTTATAACCACCACCTTAGGCTGCAAACTACCCTATAGTCCACTTAAAGGCTTTCGTCGCCTCTCTCTTTTCGAGCTTTGGCCCTCCTTCTCACGGGCCACTGCGGCTCCTAACCGCCACTCTAACTCCTGGACCCCTTTTATAGGTGAATTCCCGCCCGAACCGCTCCCCTCTGGCAAGGTGGTCTCCCATGACTCCGCGCGATCGACAACCACGGCCTCCTCCTCGACCTCCCATGCTTAAACCAACTGATCATAACTGGCACCTCAAGGGCAGGCATGTCTTTCCCTAACACACCTTCATTAGAACCCTTCTGACAATTTTATTTTGAAGACTTATAGTATGGCCATCCAAAATTTCTGGGAGTTTCTGAGTAAATCGTTGACCAATTTATTTGGCATCCCTTCTTCTACCCGAGCAACGGTCATCTTATTAGTGGCGCAAGGGGTTGCCCTTCATTACCGATCACGGTCCATAGGTACTTCCTAGTATCAAGACTTATTTTGTCCGACGCACAAATGCCATTCCATTTCCTGAAGGATAGTTATTCTTTTCGTCTCATTTTTTTTTAACATAAGCATTAGAAAAATAAATTGCTTAAGGCGACTCCCGAAAGGTCACTGCTCAGGCAAAATTGGGATTACCAAGATCAAAAATCTCTTGGAAAACGAAAACAGGGTTCGTAGATATAAGAGTTAAAGGTGTCATGGTTGCGGGAGAGGGGTGGGGAAAGATGGAACTTGGTAAATGAGCAGCCGTGTGCGGTGATCCACACTGAAAACTTTGATAAAGTTCTGGGATCTGGGCGGAATGGAGCTTTCGCGCGAGAAACATCAGTGGTACATGGCACCACGAATTTACAAGTCTGAGGGCTAACAAGTTATTATGGGTGCGGGACTTTTGGTGCGTCCGGGGTTGCACGGCGAATCGCGCGGCTGCGCGGCGATCCGGACGAGGCAAGTCTTCGCGGGCTTCTGCGGTGGAATCCAACACGTCAGAACGTGTGCAGATCGCGGATAGAATCCACAAGGTTCTGCGATTCGAATTACATTCCAACGCGTGGATATTCAAAGGCAGCGGCAGGAAGAGAAGAAAAGGAATAGCAAAAGGCTGTTATAGCAATCAGGGCGCTTAGGTTGTTGGTGCTTGTGGGGGCGAGGGAAATCCCATGAGCGGAGAGATTCAACCAATTTAATTGGGCGAAAGCCTGAGGGGAAGAGTTTCTCGTGGAGGATGTGAGCAATTTCTGTTCTCCCGAGCGTATTTCCCTTCTCATGAGCTTAGTTCTAGTGTCACCTTCCATTGGCCCTGTTTTGAAAGTTCTCCCCAAGGACAGGAGCGCCGCGATTAGCAAAGATATAGAGTTGACAATAAATAACATCTCACTAAATGACTCCATTTTTAGTGCTTCTTATTCATATTTATAATATGATAATAGTGACATTTCTATGAAGTTTCTCTCTTTCATCTCCTTTCGCTGTAATCTTCTCACTGACACCGCTGCATTTCACCAATCTCCGCTAGTCCGCGCAGCCTGCCGCGTGCAACCACGGACGCACCAAAAGTCCGTCGCCCAAAAGTTATACCCATGAGTTTTCACGTGCTCCACCTCTCCATACACCGCTAACAAACCAATGCTATTTCGCTTCGCCGCACTGGGAAAGGGTACTTTAATCTCGTTGTTATCAGCGATTTCTCCATTTCATCACTTTCAAGCGCAACAGCACAACAATTGATCTCAATATTTGTCAACCGTTGCGCGGCTAATTCCTCGAATGACGTGATTTTTTGGACAGGGCCTTTCTCGTATACTACCGCTTCTGCAGAAGTAGGCTGTCGAGATCACGATTTTGCCTGATAGCTAACAGGAGCTCACTTTGTGTTGATGCTCAACAGGTTCTTCGCTTCTTTTTCTCTACAGAGCTAGGAACAAATTTGCTAATGATTGTAGCAATAACTCGTTTCATGAGGTATTGGAGAGGCGACTAGATATACTTGGTTGACTACGAATAGCAATAATAAACTTAACAAAATTATTCTAATAATAGAAAGCTCAGACGTACGCTTTTGCTTGGTTCGATGTGCGTCACGTTGCTCTCAATATGAGCACGAGTATCACGAACGATTTCATAGATGTTGTTGCAGAATGCCAGGCAGTTACAGCAGAGGAATATGCCGACAATGGCGAGCAGCATCATAGTGACACTCCGATCCCGAACAGAACCGCCCTTTGTCATCCCGGAACCTCGAATTGGACTGCAAGTAAAGCAATTGACAATATGTATTGGGACACTTTGCTACAATAAATAGGACCAAGTCGGAGCAACCTTTGGCTTCCTTCACTGCTCCCTTCTCTTTTTACGAGCAAGCCGTTCCCGTTTACCTTTGGTTGGGAAATGCCCTGCTAATCGTCTCTTCAACATACTTCTAATTGAATGTCCTCTTGTAGCTCTTGCTCTTGTTATCCTCACTGGCTCATAATTTGATTCACTATAGGAAACCGTGTTATTTACCCAGCGTTGAAAAGTCCTTTTGGAAACAAAGCTCGAGTCACAGAAAGCTGTGCTGACAAAGGGTGAGCTCTTTCTGGTAGGATCAACAGTGCACTTCCTTGAGAGCCTTTTTCATCCATTGACTATATTGATTAGTGTACAGCCCCATGAGTTGTCATTGATATTCAGTTAGGTGAAAATTATAAGTAATCCTGTTGTCTTACATAATAATTAAGTAAAATGGCATTTAGTGCATACTATATGTACAAGGGTTCTTATTCCAAAATGGATACAAACTAATCAGGAAATTGGAAAAAAAACTCACTTGAATGCAAGTCGTCCGAATTTCCCAAAAAGTTCGGAATATTTAGCATTCTTCAGTAGACGGAAGTTTTTGACCATTCGTCTGAAATACGAACTTCTACAGGTACTTTGAAGCAAATTTTCTCCTGAACTTGTTATGCTAGAATATCTCGAAATTGCCTTCATGCGGGATAAATTTCAAACTCAAAGGCAGTGGATGCCGGATGATGGCTGATAGAATTATGTAGATCTCAATGGGCATCATTGGTGGATGGGCGTCAAGGAAGTCACGACCGTATGGTTTGAGAGCTGTGACATAGTAAGCTGAAATATTGCTGCTAGTTCGCTGCCTGATCGAAAGTGTACGCAAATATCTGCATACCTCCTTCTGTATCTGGATAGCCAGTTCCCTGAAAATTTTAAATCT